GTTGTGCAAAACTATGCACTAAAAATGAAGCGCTTTTCCTGGAGGAACATTAAAAAAAAAAAAAATGTAGTTACATAAATTTTCACTCACCTTAGTGCTCAGAGCCTTGAGTGCAGCCTGGTTGGACCCGGCAGCCAGCCCTCAGCTCTGCTCCGACTTGTCGGATTCTTGCATAAATGAAGGCAATTCTGACCTCTGCTGTTGGCCCAAAGCATCATCAGGCTGCAAAAAATGCAGCACTTGCTGAAAAGATTGTATAATCTTAGAGAGTTGATCTTGGCATGCACTACACTCTCCCCAGTAGAACTTCTTGGCGCTTGCAGTTGGTGTTATAACACACGTTACAAAACAGCTGGAGGTAAATCTTGTTTTCCTCCCCCTTGAGTGACCGGGTATTCTTGTCTGTTACACATTCAGAAGCATAACATGATGATTACTAAAATCCAACATGGATTATAAACATGTTGTTTTCCCCTAAGGTAACAAAAAGCCTCAGAGTGCTGGGCAGGGAGGACGGGCAGATCCCAACCTCCAGCATCCTGCAGCCGTACAGCGGGAGCCCGGAAATGCTCGTTTATGCGGTGGTGAAAATGCTGTGAAAAGACAATGTGTCTTCACACAACACGTAGCTGGGCTGAGGTCCACAAACTAACGTGGTCTGGGAAGGGGGTGCTTATTCCTGCACTTGCAATTAATTATGAAACTGCTGAGAGAGATATAAGCTGCCCCTGATGGTGAGAGATTGGCATGAGATATAAATGAGGGGCTGCTATAGTTAGCCTAAATCTGCTTTCCTCGTATGTCAGGTTGGGCTACTGCCACGAGCATGATGTTGTTTAGATGACCTCTAAGTTTGGTCCAGGCTGGCAATTCCTACATAAAATGCAAATATATTTTATGTTCCTTGTCTACTTTCATAGTTTTTTGTAGTTTGGATAACGAAAATCAGGGCAAGTGTCTCAAAAAACAAAAGAGTTTTTGTCTTAGTAGCTATACACAGCTGAGAGCTGCTGCTCAGAGCAGCAGACCTTTGGGGAGGTTTAGACCTTTCCCCGTTCCCAAAGACATGAGTTTATTCATATGGTGCCCCTTGGTACCAGAGGAAAGACCGGTCCTCAGCAACTGGAAGCCCTGGTGCTCTTCTGGTGATGGAGTCATCTGCTGTATCTCCCTTCAGCTTGGTGTGCAGGGGACTTGTGGAAAGAGACACTCAAAGTGGTCACATCCGTAATGAGGAGACTTGACTATTCTCACATCCTGCGCTGAGGATACGTAGTTGCTCAGTGTATCCATCTCAGATTTATCCCTTGAAATGCTCAGATAGAGAAGACGTTAAAAAAACCCCCACCCTCCTGTCATGCTACCACTTGGCTAGAAGCTGACACCAGACCACCGCCAAAGCTGGGTTAGGACACCCATAAGACCCGGTGTTTGGGGAATATATCCAAGGTGGCATGGTATGTAGATAGGAAAGAAATGGAGAACAGAGAAGTCAGAGGCACATATGTATCTCCACTTTTCAGTCTGATCCTTTAATGTCCTTCTGATTAAAAGCTTTTCCTAAAATACGCTGTTGCATTTGCCTTCATACAGTCTTTCTCAACAGTGGGCTATATGAGGTGATGCTCTGATGTCCTCAGCGGCTTCATACCAAAACTCTGCTGGCAGGCTGTGGGTCGGCTGGATGCCTTCTGTGGTGCCCAAGACCCCACCAGAAACCCATTCTGGGATGGGGATGTGGTGCCTGCAGCAACAGCAGTTGCACATGGACAGGGCTTTGTCCCACAGCTGCTGGGCTGGTCGGGGCAAGTCCTCCAGAGGAAACGTGTCCTCTTTTCACCCGCTTCACTTAGTTGTCTGCAGCTTTTCTACCACAGGGAATAAAATCCTGCCAGGGGCAATCTGCTCCACCCCAGTTATACTCACAACGTGCTTGCCCCGTGTCTCTGAATTCTGGTCTTGCCGGTGCTTTCATAACCCAGCACGTGCTCTTACACTTGAGGAGTGGGGGAGTTTCTCTGAACCATGTCTCGCTCTGCAGGGCCATAGCTTGCCAGGGCCCATCATTGCATTGATGCCACGTGGTGATGTGGGTTTTCTGGGGTCTCAGGGCAAGTACAGTGCCATGGGCAACATTGCTTTTGCCCCCAGGACAGGCTATCTTGATCCTAGAAATGTTTTCACAGCCTTTGAAATGCTGACGTGTTGTTATGTTGTGCATAACTGGTTCTCTCTCCACCTGAATAATCAGCTTTTGGCAGGGTCTAGCTTGTGAAAAGATGATGGGAGATTTGCCATGTGGTGCTGATGGGTTCAAGCATAGTTTTTGTGACCTGAGAAACAGAGGGTTCAGGATGGTGTGTCTCCACCGTGATCTGTTCTGTCAGGTTGAAGGCAGAAGAAGGGTTAGGAGGTTGTGTTCCTGCCAGGTTGATTGCTACATCACCTGCTCAAAAATCATTAGTTGAAGAGTATCTTTGATTTTATGCCATCATGGATTTGGCACAATAATTTTTTATTTGAGTGTTTGTCAGTTCGGCTCCATTAGGACAGGTGTAATTGTATTTTAGACGTGAGCATCATGGGTTGCTCTGCAGATTATGTGCACAGCAGCCTCCACGGTGCAGACACATGTCGGGGGGACCTGTGCACCCCATTGACATGCAGGTAGTGGAGATCCTCCTTTTTACAAAGCTAGACCCAGGGCCTGCGTGTCCTGGCCTGAGAGGATCTGCCTGGTTTTGCAAGAGCTGTTTGAGAAGGGCTCTGTTTTCTCCAAGGAAAAAGTTACCTAGAGGAGTGGGTTTTGTATGCAGTTGTTCAGTGTTCAATGTTCATCTCAGAGCTTCAAAAGTGAAAATTCATGTTTCTGAATATTCTTATCCTTTTCCTCTCAGGAAAGGATCAGCAATGGGGGGAAGGGAGAAAGCAGGAGACAAAAATGAATTAGAAGTATAATATTTTTTCAGTCTGAAAAGACCTCCATGATTGTTTTCATATTCCTTCAAAAAATCTGTATTTTGTATGGAAAAAAAAAAGCATTTGGGTTTTTTTGGGGCTAAATTTATCTTCTGCTGATTTGAGCAGTTACAAAATCATTCTTCTTCCTTTTATCTTTCATTTCAGAAACCCCAGCTGGACTTATTGCTGAGAACCTTCTCAAAGCCAAAGAAATAGCCCTCAATGACTCTTGTGTTCCTGAAAAGCTCAAGAATTACTTACAAAAAGCTCTTGATGTTGCTCTTGGACTAGACCCTTACCTGGATGCAATGGCAACTTTAAAGAGGTACAGATACTCCTTCATAACCTTGTGCTTTTTTCCTGTGATTATATGAATATGTTCTTAGATTTTCTGGTCAGAATATGCCATAAATGTGGGGGACAGTGGAAGGAAGAAGAATGAGAGTTAATTGCACCCAAATACATAGCAAAGTGTGCACAGACCTGTGTGCGTCTGTGTGTGCCTATGACCTTGAGGGGAGAAGGTGAGAACAAAAAGTCCTAACTCTAAATTTTGGAAGGTATTTTACCAATCGACTATTGACTATGGCAACGTCTGTGTTGGACCGTATCCGATGAAAAATCGGCAAGCCAGCCTCCACACAGTGCCTGCTGAAAGGCTCGAAGAATGAACTCCTGGCTCAAATTGGTGCTGGGATAAACAAAGAATGAAAAAAACCTGCACCTCTGCATCCACCCTATAATAACAGCCTTTATATGCAGCTTTTATCTCCAAGCGCTCAACAAACATTAATTAATCTGCTAACTAAATTACTCTAGTAACTAAACTAATTAATTAAACTAATTTAAGGTATCATTAATTCAGAAGTCCAACTGATACCCTCATTATTCTTTTTTGAGCTACAGTATATTACCCAGCCATGTGGGGTCTGCTAAACAATTCCCATTTATCAGTGTACATTTTGATATGTGGAAAAAGCCAGTTCTGTCTAAAATTGACAATGTGTAAACTGTTCCAGGCTGTGGATTATGGGAACGCTGAGTGTTCGTTCTGTTGCTGAAATAATAGCTGATAGTTGTTTGACTTACGCTTGCTGTACGATAATAGCTATACATTATCTTATTAAAGTTGTTAAAGCATTTGTGAGGGGCAGAAAAGAGGTTATATGAAATGTTCTACTCTTTAAGTCTTGGATTATCTGAGTGTGGCTGACACGGGTTATGAATTCTTTCTCATTTTTCTGAGGAGTGGGG